ACATTAAACACTTCCAATTTTGCATTTCTAGGTAAATTTTTAATTTTTTGTGGAGGATTTTGGGTTACATGTGAATTTTGCAAGTTAAATTTTAGGCGTGTGAAAGAATGAAACTTTAAATTAAATTAAATGAGAATAAAGCGTGCATTTGTCTGATTTACATAATCGAATTTGTGTTGTCTCAAAAAATTATGACGTCGACTATTGGTGCACAAATCTTCTTACGAGTGTCTACCGGAAATAGCCTTTCAGCCTTTTTAAAGGTAGATGGTGTTAGGTGTTTGCAATAATTTTCTTACCATATTCGGTTTTCCTATCTCTTAAAGAAAACGGTAATATAATTATCTTAATTGAGTTTTCCTTTTTGTAGAAGGAAATTATAATTCTCTTGTACTTGGCTAGTCTTTTTTCTTGTAGGAAAAGGTTTAGACTTTTATAAATTGAGGATCCTTCCTTCTCATTCAGTAGCATCCACAATGTAGCCATATGGGGTTTGAAAGTCGTGTTTAGGGGGAGAAATTTACGGGATAAGTGTTAATGTGTCACTTGTGTTTGCCTCTTCGTGAGGTTGTTCTCTCGATATTTTGTACTCTCTTTTTATTATAGTGGATTGCTCATCTCCGCGGTGGATGCAGGTCAGTTGACCGAACCACGTTAAATGTTTGTGTCTCTTTTGGTAGATTTCTCTTTTGTTGTGTGGTTTATCGTCGTTCAAGGTTTACTTTACTAGCTTCCGCATGACACCTGACTTTTTTCGGTCCTAACAAGTGGTATCAGAGCGAGGTTCAAGACAGGTTCATTTTGACGAGTTCAATTCTAGCCGCAACATATTTGACGATAATCGTGACTTTTGTCTGAGAAATTTGACCAGTGTGTTGTGCACGTTGATACAAACTTTGCAATAGAGATTTGGAAATGCGACCTGTTGAAGGCTATGTGAAGAAAGTGGATCAAGTTTATTTTGTCAAAAAAATCAGGCCAAAGGGGAGAATTGTTAGGTGTTTGTCATAATTTTCTTACCATATTCGGTTTTTCTATCTCTTAAAGGAAAAGGGAAATATAATTACTTTAATTGGGTTTTCCTTTTTGTAGAAGGAAATTGTAATTCTCATATACTTGGCTAGTCCTTTTTCTTGTAGGAAAAGTTTGGACTTCTATAAATTGAGGATCCTTTCTTCTCATTCAGTAGCATCCACAATGTAGCCATTTGGGGTTTGAGAGTCGTGTTTAGGGGGAGAACTTTACGGGACATGTGTTAGTGTGTCACTTGTGTTTGCCTCTTCGTGAGGTTGTTCTCTCGATATTTTGTACTCTCTTTTTATTATAGTGGATTGCTCATCTCCGCGGTGGATGTAGGTCAGTTGACCGAACCACATTAAATGTTTGTGTCTCTTTTGGTAGATTTCTCTTTTGTTGTGTGGTTTATCGTCGTTCAAGGTTTACTTTACTAGCTTCCGCATGATACCTGATTTTTTTCGGTCCTAACAAATGTAAGATTTGTGTACACTCTACCCTCTTCAAACCCCACTTGTAAAACTATACTGGGTTTGTTGTTGCAATTAATAATTGGTGCACGATAAGGTCTAACTTAATAATAATCGAAACCATTTGACCTGTTTATGCAATATAACTAGACACCATAAGCTTTTTAAATTCTTTGTTTTGTTTAAGTTGGTGGAAAAAAGGTCAATACGAGGGTCATTGAAAAATATTTATTTGCACACTCGATACTTATATTAAACAAAATAATTTAATCTTTAGAATCACAAATTAAAGTGGGAGTGTACATCACTTAATTAACCATGGTTAAATACAACAACAACCCAATAAATACAAATATCAAATAAAAAAATTATTTATTAATTTAATACAAATATCAATGCTGAATACTTTATTCGAGGGTCTAATATCTCCTTAAAATCAATAATTCTCTCTTTAATAATTCTGATTATAAACTATGCCTTGTCGATCCACTTGTATTGTGAAAAAGTATAACAATAACAAATTTAGTGAAATCTTATAAGTGAAATTTGGGAAGGATAATGTGTATGTAGAATTGTGGACCTTAATTTTATCCCGAGTAGATAAAGAGATTGTTTTCGAAAGCGGCTCACGAGCAAGAATTGTGAAGAAAGTGCTGATGAAAATATACAATTAGAGATGAAACCATTCTTTTAAAAACTCTATATATAATTTTACTTAACTAAGCCTAATAAAATAACCAACAGAAAAAGTACATGAAAAAGTAGTTAAAAATAGCTAAACAGTGACCATTTGTCCTATAGTGTAATAGTGTCAATGTTGTCATTCCAATGAATTTCGTACCAAGAAGCACACACCTACATTCAAGAAACTCTATAAATACCATCCCTTTGCCATTTCCTCACTCATATCTATAATTTATTATTTTCTCCAAAAAAACTAAAAAAAATGTGTAAAGGAAGAAGAGAAGGGGAAGAAGAAAAAACAAAGGCAATTGGTACTGTTTGTTGTGCACTGTGTAAATCAGAGGCTTATTTATATTGTCAAGCAGATGATGCATTTCTTTGTAAAAAATGTGATAAATGGGTACATGGGGCTAATTTTTTGGCTCAAAGACATATAAGGTGTATTCTTTGTGGAATTTGCAAAAGCTTAACACAGAGATATTTGATAGGAGTTTCATCAGAAGTTATACTTCCAACAGTTGTGAGTTTTACACAGAAAAGTAGAAGACAGTATAGTTCAGATTCTGAGGAAGATTGTTCAAGAACAGTGAAAGAACCTTTCTTGTTTCTTTGATTACTATATATAAGCTCATGTTTTGTTTTTCCTTTTTTTTTTTTTTTTTTTTTTTTTTTGTAGTTTGGTTCCAATGAGCAGGAAAAAAATTTAGAGTTTCATGATAGGTGGACAAGTTGATGTTTATGCTTTTTTATTTTATTTTTTAAATTTCCATTTTCCTCTTGAGAAAGGGTGCTTATTTCTTTAATCATACACTAGTATATAATGAAACAAGAAAAGAGATGACAAGAATTGGAGTTTGTGACCTCTTACTCATTGTTGTTGTAATTGTTTGTTTTTTCATTTCGCTTTTTTTTTTTTTGGAGGCGAGGGTCTACCGGAAATAGTCTCTATATTTACAAGCTAGAAATAAGAACTATATATATGTTATTCTTTCCAGACCTTACTTGTAGGATTACATTGAATTTATTGTTATTGTTGTTGGTGTTAACCTCTTGCTAACTTGACTATCCCTCTAGAACTAAGAAAATATTCAAATATGGCATTTTAGTTTCGAGATCTTTGATAGTAGATGCAAATGTGACGTTCAGAGTCAACATGTTCATAATCGATGTGATCTATTATATACTTACTATAATTTAATTATCTTTTTGTATCTGTGAAAGTAATTCAAGTTAAAAATAACTCTTAATTTGCATGTATTTGATAGTGAAGCTAAAAATAGTGGATTTAGTTAAACACGCTTAATCCACTACAAAGATGCTTTTCTAGCCATGTTTTCTGTAGCTGGCGTTGGAAAATTTTGAGCCATAATCTAATTAAAGGCATTGATTTAGTACTTATAATAAGGACCCTACGGAGCTTATGGTGAAAATATAATTATGTGGTGGTGCACTGCCTAGCTGGTGCAATGACAAAAGTATGAGGTGGATATCATTTCTATGTCAGAAAGAATATCAAACTGAACAAGTACTCATATCGTTTCATTCTTGTAGTAAGCTTTATCTCAAATCAATTTCCCAATATGTTTTCCATTTGTTCGTTGAATTTAATTTTGAGTAAGAACTAAGATGTAAAAAGGATTAATTAATTTTTAGAAACAAAATGTTAGAAACTATTACTATACAAATATTCACATTTCAAATTATGATTAGCTGCTTATGGTATTGCTATGGAGTATGGGCTTCATATCTCTTCATTTTTCTCCTCTATTACTACTCTCCATGATATCATATAAAATTAATTTTATGTGCATGAACCTATTTATGGCTTGTGCCTTGTATTATCCTTTTCCTTTTCCTTTTGTGCTGGATTGGCATGCAACTACAAACCGAAAGAGTATTAAAGTTTGTTTGGCCAAGGTTTTTTTTTTTTTTTTTTTTTTTTTTTTTTTTTCTAAAAGTGTTTTTTTGGTGCCAAATTAAGGTGTTTGGTCAAGCTTTTAGAAGAAAAAGAGTATTTTTGAGTAGAAGCAGAAGCAGTTTTGGAGAAACAGAAAATAGTAGCTTCTCCCCAAAAATATTTTTTTGAAAAACACTTTTAAGAAAGTATGGGAGAGGTTGGTGGAGCTTAGGGTGAGGATGATCGTGTCTATTTCAGAGAACCAATCTGGAACCAATGCGGCTGTGAGCACGTGATTTTGCCCGAATATAAATACTTCTACAAATTCGCAAAAAATAGGTTTCTCTAGTTATTTTAATTTTTAAAGAATTTTTAGGAATTTTTTTGCTAATTGTTGCATATTTAATATTTTAAATCATATAAAAATACCCAAAAATAGCCCAAATATTCATTGCATAGCATTTTAGGTCTTAATTGCATTTAGGATTTAAATACATGAGCTAATTGTATTATTGAACAAAAAATCAAAAAATGGGTCACTTTTACATATTTAGCTTCTAATTTTAAAATTAAGATTTTTCTTTCACTAGTTTTAAGTCAGCTAATTATTTTAATGTTTGAAATAGATAATTAATTTAATTCTACATATTAAGTTTTATTTAGGATTTAATTTAGGTTTTTAATTAATTCTATGGGATTTAAAATCAAGAAAAAAAAGAGAAAAAGAAGAAGAAGGAAAATTCTGTTTGGTTCTAAGTTGGGCCAAACAACTTCTGGGCTCCTATTTACCCGGTCCAGCCCCCATGTTACCGAACGACGTCGTTTTGCCCATTTTATCCCAACCGTTGATCTTCAATGATCTAACGGCTGAGAACTAACTTATCCCTCCCCATATAAGTGTCGGATCCCCCCCAAACCCCTAAACCTCACAGAACCCTCCCCATTTCCCCATCTCTCTCTCAATTCTAACCCTAGCCGCCCAACAATCCTCCACCGGTGGCCGCCACCATAACTCCTCCAAATCCACCCAAATTCACACCCCATAATCCTCTCTTCCTCCTCATCTCATATCTCATTTTAGCTTCTTTGGAAACACCCTAGAACTCCCTAGGTGTTAGATCCAAAAAGGCCAGAAATGCCAATTTTTTTTTTGTTGATATCTCCATTGATTTTAGCCTGTTTTGAGTTAAAACTAACATTAGCTAATGGTTCTTGTCAAGATCCGTTGATTAATGTAAGTTTTAGTTCATCTCGAATTGTCGAAATCCGGCCAAACTTCATGGATTCACTTCAAATCGTCTTTCTTTCTCATTAGGTATTCTCTTGTCCCTCCTATCTTGTTTTGTTGCTTTGTTAAAAAAAAAAAGAGAAGGAGAATAATAATGGTTATTTTAATTGTTGATAAGATTTTCTATTTACTTTTGTTTAATTATTATTTTGTTTAGGGTCTTTTGTTAATTAACAAGTTTGGCTTATAGTTTATTATCATTATAATTAGTTCAATCAAGCTTTTAAAATTTCAATATTTATAATTTTACAATGTTTGTCATTCGATCTTTGGTTTGTCTGTATTTGGAATTTTGTGTGTCATCGGCTTGGAAAGTAGAAGCCCCATTTGTTCGAGCCTAAGCCTTTGGTTAGATGACCCAGTTATTGGTATTGTTTGAGAAGTAAATACAGGGGTATTAGGGGATTAATTTAGGTTTTTTGACTTGAAGAATATTTTTTGTTATAACTAAAGAAGTTTCTAGAGGATAAGGTTGGTTTTCTGCAAAGAAAATAAATACAGTTCAGATTTTTTTGGGATCCTAGGGGGTAAAATAAAAAGTTTGAAGGGTGGAAGTGAATTAAAAATCAGATATCTGGTTGCCCTAAAATCTTCTATAAAAAGATCTTCTCCTCATTCATTTTGAAAAAAGAAAAGAAAATGGATGGGCACTGAACATCTCTCTCAAATACACTCAAGAACACACTGATTTTCTTTTTCTTTTCTCTCTGAAATCTGAGTTTAGACTTAGAAAGAAAAAAACAAAAAAAGGGTTTTGGAAGCTAATCCTTCTATACTGCTGTTGCTTGTGCTTCTCTATTGAACTTGGCTTCATACCTGGTTTTCTGACCTTTATTTGGTCCTTTATTTGTTATTTCCCGCCATTAGGCATGTATAAATTTGCCTATTAGCTTTCTGTTGCAGTTATGAATAAAGTTTGAATTATTTGATGTTATTTGTATTTGATTCCATTACTGTATTCTATTGCAATCGATTCTGTGTAAATTTCTAGTTTTGGGTGCTCATCTAAACTAAATATGGTGATTGGATTTGTCTCTTGACTTGCTTACACAATTGTTCAGTATCGTTGTGTAGGTCTATTATCACAGATTCATTGTTATTTTGGCTTACAAGTTTATGTGCTATGAATCATCTCATAATCAATCTGCTGTTAGTTTATGATGATTTATTCTTTGAAAATTAGTGGTTCATACTCCAAATGATATCTACACTAATGGACTAATCAAATTTGTTGCATAGTCATTTAGCTGATAAGCATGACAGATTTAATTTATAAGAGTAGCCCAATGGCTATTTTCTCTCAGAGGTCTGCCCGAAGGAACAAGAGGTGTACAATGTAAGAGTAACTTATTTGTGAAGCTGTGATAGATATAAATATTTTACAACTCTAGTTCTTTGATTATTTCTTGTAAGAGAATCATCAGATCCTTATGAATTTTGTAAAATTACAATTGTCTGTATTTGTTTGTTTGTGTTTTTTTAGTATCAATTTGCTTTAAGTATGTAGATATACTGTACACAAATCCAAATTTAAGTATTATTTGTTGCTTTAAATTTCATGAAGGCAGTTGATCGATATGTTCATGTGGCTATCTAATTATGTTCTGGAATATAGACTGTTATCAGAAGAAATTTATATACATGTGAACTTCCTATAGGTTCTTGCGATGCCTTTTGGCAGTTGATCATATAAGTGTATATGATTCATTAATATCCGCAAATAATTATATTTTACGTTTCTTCCATAATTGTTATCCATAATCAAGCCTTTCACGCGTAATCTCAAAGTAGTTTAGTAAATAATTCATAAAACTCATAGCTTGCTTTAGGCGCGATTAATAATAAATTATCATGACTATGGGTACAGTTCCCGTGGCATAGTCATGATACCTAATCCCAATTCGAGTGTGTGTTTTCACGTGGCTCGACCATAACTTCAAAGAATAATAAAATTAAACATGTTGTAGATCGTGGGTACGGTTCCCGTGACGCGATTCGCAATGTGTACCAAACAAACGAGTGTGCGACATCGCAACTTGTTCCAACCAATTCCATAAATAATTAAAAGCGGTCTAAAAGATGAAAAATGCACAATAGTTTTAAGGCTTGTTTTAAATCAGATAATTAGGTCAATTATTAATAGTTGAGCGACCGTGCTAAAATCACGGAACCTGGGAATGCCTAACACCTTCTTCCGGGTTAACCGAATTTCTTAACCGGATTTTTGTATTTCGTGGACTGTAAAACAGAGTCAAACTTCCTCGATTCGGAATTTTAAATCGGTGACTTGAGACACTATAAATTATCCCAAGTGGCTACTCTGAATTTGAATAATAATAATTCCTTTTCAGTTATTGTCACTTTAATTGGAAAAACGGAAAAAGGACTGGCGACTCTGCTGGGGATCGAACCAAGAATATCTAGTTCAGGGTTCAAAATTTGATCTTAGAATAACTGCTATAGTTGGCTTTTGTTTATTATCTGATTTTATGTGTTTGAGCCTGATGTGTTAAATATCGCTTTTTATCGCTTTGATATTGTGTGAACTATATATAAAACTGTTACGAAATCATTCTTCTCTCTGAGTCTTCTAAATCTTCTAGGAAATGCACGTTGGTGTGACTTCTTTTCTTTAGTGTCATACCCTAATTTAGAATGAGGATCAGATCAGTTTCAATGTTGGATGACTTTTTGGTTACCGGTACATTGCCCTCCTCCCCTCCCGGCTCGAGTTGTCTGCTCGGGTAAGCCAGGTCTAGAACAATACACCCAGTTGTTACACCTAGAATAACATTGCCTATGTCGGATCCCTAGTAGGAACGATTGTTTGCATCATGTGCATTTGACTTTGGGGACTCAACACAGGGGTTGAGTCCGTCTAGGACAGGTGTACCCGAAATAAAAAGACCATCCTGATGTAATTTTACGTGTTATTTGTGCATTTATTTGTTTCGGCTTGCATGTTGACCGACTTCTAGATTAGGGAAGAAAAATCAAAGGAAAACCAAGATTGAGGTAGGAGAGAGAAAATCATCCGTCTCCAAAAACCCTAGTGTTCTAAATATCCCGAAACTCTGCCAAAATTTTGGAAAAAAAAGGAGAAAAGGTCATTCCAAAATAAATCATACTTTCTTGTTGCGTTAAAACTGACCGGACTACGTGGGTTTGGTTCTCACCAGATGTGAGATACGTAGGTAACCCTCATTGGGTCCAGCCACGCTTTTGCAAAAAACAACCAAAAATATGAAAATGTCGTAATATTTTGTCATAAATAAAGTTAGGTGATGCCGTTTTTGTCTAAATAGCCAGAAATGTCACGACAGGATGCCGGAAGGCCTTTTTGCGAGAATAGCCACCTATGATCCTTTTTTTCAATTTTTGACCACTTAATAAACACAACCCTAAAATCTTCTTTTCTGATGTGCTGAAGGGCTGTATTTGCAAAAGTAGTCGTGAGTTGTTTTAAATTGAATTTTACAAAAAATAAACTTTTCTGATCAGTTTTCAAACAAAACTCACATGTTTTAACCCAATCATCTTAATTTAAAATGTGCAGAATGAGCATTGTTCAGAATTTACCAGTAAAGGTTATGGATCAGATTCCACTGACACTTCACATGTGGTGGGAGGATTTGGGAGGACAAGGGCAAGACAATGTCAACTGACACCTAGGGGTACTTACTGGATTATTGAAGATTAAACCTAGAAGTGATGTGATAGAGACATTAGTGTCATTCTGGGACCTTGCTCACAATGTTTTGCACTTTTCATATTTTGAGCTTACAACTGCCTTGGAAGGAATGGCAGGTTATGCCGGGAGTACAGAGGGTTTAAGACACAAATACTTGATATCTCCAAGGGTCGTTACTCCCCACAAGTTTCTAGACTTACAGAAAATAAGTAGGCATGAGCTTTCACTTTTCACTTTTTATACCAGCGATATGGGTATTTAGGAGGATTTAAGGACCCAGAAAGTGGACTCTACAGTAAAGGAAACCGATCAAAGTGGGAAGAACATAGATACTTCGCTTTTATGGTGGCATTTTAGGCCTCTTAGTGTTTCCAAGAAAGGACAGGAACATTTATTTGCATGTAGCTGGTGTTGTCCATGTTTTGACTACTAATGCCAAGAGTACCCTCGCACCCATGATCATATCAGTTATATTTCGAGCCCTCACATCCTGTAAGGCTGGAGTAAGTTTTTTTGAGGGGTGTAATCTGTTATTGCAAATGTAGATGATCGAACACCTTTTTCACTGTCCCCGATACATGAACTACGGGTCTACGGGAAAAAATTGCATCGAGGAGTTTGGTACACAAGTGACCAGATTCGAAATACCAGAAGGGGTCAAAGATTAGATATCCCACCTTCATTCTATAACTACAGATGAGATAGAGAGGACATTGGGTTGGCTTCCTGTTAATGAGATTGTTTACATGCCCGCCACCGGTCCCTATGTGATGACCCAAAATGTCATCACTTGTTTTAAAACGAAACTTTCGTATTCTAAGGCCTTGAAAACCTCATTTAGAGTGACCTCGATTTCCGTGCGCAGTCCGGGCACATAGTTGGAAAGCTTAAATACGATAATCTGTGAAAAATAATATGTTTTTATTATAAAATGAGCTTATTTGAGTTCGGTCAACGTTTTGGGTAAACAGACCCGGACCCGTAATTTGACGATCCCGGAAGGTCCATAGGAAAATATGGGACTTGGGCGTATGCTCGGAATCGAATTTCGAGGTCCCAAGCCCGAGAAATGAATTTTCAAAAAATTATTTTCTGAAACTGTTTAAAGAAATTTGAAATGAAATTTGATTAGAACATGATGGTATTGAGCCCGTATTTTGGTTCCGGTGTCTGGTACAAGTCTTATATATAATTTAAGACATTTCTATGGAATTTGGTGAAAAACGGATGTCATGTGACATGATTCGGACTTAAATTGCAAAATTTATGTTTAAAGAAGTTTAGAGAAAATTTCATCGATCTCGAGATTTAATTTGATGTTCATGAGGTTATTTTGATGATTTGATTACACGAGTAAGTCTATATGATGTTTGACATTTGGTTTGGAGCCCCTAGGGCTCGGGTGAGTTTCGGGATATTTTTACACTTAGGAAAAAAAATTGCAGATCCAGAGAAGTTGCAGGTCTCTGAAGCCAGGCTTCGCGGTCCGCGGTGGAAGCTTCGTGGCCGCGGTGGGAATTGTGCGGTCCGCGGTGAGCAAGGCCAAGCCTTCGCGGCCGCACTCGATTTCTTGCGGTCCGCGGTGGAGCTTCACGGCCGCAGTCTTTTTTATGCGGTCCGCGGTGGTGCTCCGCGACCGCAGTCCTTTTTATGCGGTCCGCGGAGAGGGCTCGAGAGGAGTATATTTAAACGGATTTTCCAGTTATTTTTCACTTTTCAAAACCCTAAAACATAAGAGGCGATTTTTCAAACAACCTTTCTTCTCCAAATCAATTGTAAGTCATTTTTAACTAGTTTTCTTCAATCATTAACATCCTTTAATATGCTTTCAACTTCAAATTAATGATTTTCATGGGGGAAATTGTGTGTTTTGGGTAGAACCTAGGGTTTTCAAAAATTTGAGATTTGGACCTCGATTTGAGGTCCGATTTCAAAACAAATTACATATTTGGGCTCGTGGGGGAATGGGTAATCGGGTTTTGGTTCGAACCTCGTGTTTTGACCACGTGGGCCCGGGGGCGATTTTGACTTTTTGGGTAAAACTTTGGAAAACTCATTTTCATGCATTCAAATTGATTCATTTAGCGTTTATTGATGTAATTAAGTAACTTGTGGCTAGATACAAGCGAATTGGCCGAGGAATCGAGGGGTAAAGCTATAATTGAAGCTTGAGTTGTGTTCGTGACATCGAGGTAAGTGTTTGGTCTAACCTTAGCTTGAGGGATTAGGAGTTGTGTCCTATTTGCTATTTGCTTATTGTCGAGTACAACGTATAGGCATGGTGACGAGTATCTATATGTTGGTGTCAAACATGACGTGAGTCTTATCTTGTGATTTTCATGATCTCGTTGTATTATTCATGCTTTGGTGAAGATTTCTATTTATTGTGTAAAGTTGTGGAAAGAATTGTGACCTATGAACATTGAGGAGCATTGGCTCCGGTTGTATAATGAATTGTGAAAGTTAAGTAATAATCGAAACCTTAGAGCATTGGCTCGAGTTGTGTAGTGAATTGTGAAGTAAAAGTGAGAAAGAGAAGAGATCATTATGTTGCCCCCTTGCTGGGCTATTGTTGAGTTGAGGTTCCCTTGCATTGTTTTCTGAATTGATATTACATACACTTAAGTTGATGATTTTTCGTGTTAGATGTTGAAACTAGTTGAGTTATAGTGGAGATAGTTAGATGTTGGAACAGGTTTGGTTATGGCTGTTTCTCCCTTGTCGGGACGGTTAGTTATGATTATTGTTGACTGTATATAATGGATTGGGTTGCATGCCGTAACAGTTATATATGTGGATCGGGTTGCACGCCGTAACAGATATTATATTGGATCAGGTTGCACACC